GTCGGATATTGTGCATAATATTTTTTCAAATTTAAATTCCTAATTAATTTCTGTAAATTTACATAAGTATCAAACTTATTCAAACCTCTAGCTGGTGCAAACTTTAATCCTTTGTCTAGCGCATGGATCTCTTCTTTTTTAAGTGGGACCCCACTAATATTAAAAATCCCCTCCCCTTTTAGTCTCTCCTTCTTTTTTTGTTGTTTCCTTCTTCCTCCTCTACACCCCCTCTTTTTGGTTTTTCCCTTTGCTTCTCCCTTTTCCACTTGGGGGTACTGATTCCATCCTAAAAAAGGGTTATATGTCGGTGTTTCTGGAGTTTGTGATGCTAGCGGGTGAGAATCTGTTATATTGGGGTACCTCAAATCTATCATACATGGGTTTGTTGTAATACTGAGGTCTTTGGGGTTTAGGGGGATATTGTGCATAAAAATTGGGTTGCGGATAGTAATTTTGTGGTCCTCTTGGTGGATAACCTCCATGTTGTTTATTATAGTATGGTCTGCCTCCCCAATATGGTTGTTGGGGTGGGCCTCCATAATTGGGTTTCCAATTTTTATTATTATTATAGGGCTTCTTGTTTTTGACCTCCTCATAGGATGTGAGCGTCTCACATTTTTTGTATAAGTGCATTTGCAGCTGAGAGGTCTCAGTAGTGAGAATCAGAACAACGTTGCTAGTAACAGAAGCAAGAGACAGCTCTGTGTCATTTTAAATATTGTGCTTTAGGCTGTACTCACTGGTGCATTCAGCCAGATCTTTTTGTTCTTCTTGGGATTTGTTCTCCTCATTTGAGCTTGTATCTCTGCGTCTTCTGCTTACTTCTCTGCCTCTTTTATCTCCATCCAAGCTTCCATTCTGCTTCTTTCCTAGCAAAGGAGTTTCACACTTCAGTTGCTTCTTCTGTTTGCAGTGAAACACTTCTGCATTTGCGCAAGCCTCTAGAAGCTTGTTACTTAATGCTGATCTCCTGCAGCAGGAGGATCTAGAAGATAATACTGTGAACCTAGCTGAGACTTAGACATGTGCATCACGAAAAAAAAAGGGGTTTAGTTTCCGATCAATTTGTTAAGTTACTAATTTTGCTTTGTTACATTTGTGACAAAATTTGTTTTGTTTAGTTTTGTTTTGTTTATTTGTTTTCAAATGGCTTCAAATTTTTCCAATGGATTCTAAGTATTTGAGTCGAAAACAACGAATCAATCTGAAATTATTGTGAAGAATAGCTGGTTCTATTCTGATGGAAATTCAAATTTTGGAAGACTGCTATAATCTTTCTGTTTTATTCTAATCTATTTGAAATTCGAATTTCAAAATTCAAATTTCAGAAGATGGCTATATTCTTTCCATTTTATTCTATTCTATTCTTTTCTATTTCTTTATTTTCTGTTCTTTTCTATTCTGTTTTGTTCTATTCTACTGTTGTTGAAATTTGATTTTTTTCCAATGGATTCGAAGTATTTGAATCAAAAATATCAAGTCAATTCATATTCATTGGGAAGAATAGTTGGTCCTATTCTATTCGAAATTTGAATTTCAACATTGCTACATTATTTCTATTTTATTCTATTCTACTCTATTTGAAATTTGAATTTCAAAATTAAAATTTCGAAAGATGGCTATATTCTATTTGTTCTTTTATTTTCTATTCTATTTTATTCTATTCATTTCTATTCTATTTGATATTTGAATTTCAAAATATATTCCTTCTATTCTAATCTATGCTATTTATTCTATTCTATTTTTCTGTTCTATTCCTTTCTATTCTTTTATTTTATTTTCTATTCTATTCTGTGTTATTCTATTCTTTTCTATTCTGTTTTACTTCATTCTATTCTTTTCAAAAATTGAATTTTTAAATTTAAATTTTGTAAGACGGCTACATTTTTTTTTCTATTCTATTCTTTTCTACTCTATTTTTTTATTCTATTATTTTATTTTCTATTCTAATCTTTTCTATTCAGTTTTTTCTATTCTATTCTTTTATTTTCTATTCTGTGTTATTCTATTCTTTTCAAAATTAAAATTTTCAGAAGATGGCTATATTCTAATACACACAGTCTTTGAAGGAAACCAGCAATAGTCAGCAATATGTTTACATTTTGAATTTGTTTTCTAACTCGATTTGAATTCGGATGAACTTTTTTTTTCATTATTTTGGATGCATTTAAATTCATATTCATACTATGGTGTTTAGGAAATTCAGATACATCCTAATCTAAAAATATTTAAAAATGTGTCTGAATCTTTAGCTAGTCTGTGAGATATGGTTTCCTGCAAATGAACAATGCAGAGTTCTGCCTTTTCCTTAGCACCTTTTACTAACACACCTTTGTTGGTTCAAGGCTTCAGTCTTAGTTATGCTAAACAGTCTCTTGTATTAGTGTCCCTTCAAAGAGAAGTTCAGAATTAAAAAAAAAAAATAAGAACTGAGCTGATAAACTTAGTTCTACTGTGAGCAGAGAGCGGGGACTGTCAGTCTCCGGCTCGCTGCTCTGACTCCACATGCTCACTAGAGCACTTAGCTGTGGAGGGGAGCTGCTGGCTTGGGCTCATAGTGGCTTGCTGAGAGACTAAGCCAGCTGCCAATCCAGGGTTCTGGGCAGATACCAATCATATGCTCGGGATCTTTCAGAGCCTGGACCGCCTCTGTGACGTTGGCCGATAGAAAAACGTTAGCTTCAGAACTAACTGCACTCCTGCGATGCATAAGAGAAGTACAGCCAAAATAGTTTTGGCTATACTTCTACTTTAGGAATGCTGTATATTGTTCAGGCAGTCGCAAATAATGTTCATGGAAGGTGGCAGATAGGTGGCAGAGACTCTTACTTCTACTGCATTAGGCTACGTTCACACTAGCGTTGTGTGCAGGCGGCAGAGAGGTGTTTGGGAAGCGTTTTTACCGCTTCCCAAACGCCTCTGCCAATTCTGCACATTACAGCACATGGTGCTGTTCTAACGGGAGTGTTTGCATCGCGGCAAAACGGACGCCTTTGGTCGAGTCAGGAGGTGTTGAAGCCTCCTATTCTAGTCTATGGTGCCGCTCCGCAAACGCCAAGCCGGTGTTTGCGGTGCGGTTGCGACGCGGTTGCGGGGCGTTTGCGGAGCGGTAACACCATTCAAACTGCATTATAGGCGTTTGTGGGGCGTTTAACGCTCGGCAAACACCTAGCAACCAACGCTAAACCGCGCATGCGGTGTTTGCGGAGCGTTAAAAAGTGCTCCACAAACGCCGGACCAACGCTTGCCAAACACTATAGGGGCGTTTGGCAAGCGTTGGTAAAACAGCCAAGTGTGAACGAGCCCTTATTGTTTGAAAGTGAAACAATTGACATGCAGTATGCAGTTCTGTCCCATAGGTCTGACAGATTGCTGGAGAATGCATTTCTAGTAGATTCATAGTTTTCTCCAAGCTTCTGAGTTGGTTTTATTTTGCATTTGGGTTTCACACTGCTCTGCAATATCTGTAGAATCAGCTCCCTGTATGGCTGTGTGGTCAGAAACATGATGCACTTGCATTGCTTCAGCAACAGATGAGATCATAGAGCCTTGTCTAGACGTTTTATACTTATTGCTGAAAATTGGTATTGTCTCTTTAAAATGTTGAACAGCGATTTAGACAGGCAGAGTAATGCAAACACTTACATAAGCCTCCTGTATTTCATGAGTGGTTAATGTGTGCTCTCACAAAATGTGGTTGGTAGAATGCTGGAACAGTAACTAATAATGCTTTGGCCAGGCCACCAGTGTCCTAGCAACTAATGATGCTGTGCGGCAACAGTTACTAAGTTGCTGACTTATACAATGTCATTGGTTGGTTGCGCCATAATGACCAATAATGCTGTGTGTCTTTTGCCTTCAGCATCCTAGCAACCAGCTTAGTAATGCTGTTCTGTGTATACAGGGCAACATTACTGAGTTGTAGGGAGGATGGCACAATCGATCAAATGGGGTCGATCAAATCCATCACTATCTGTCACTGTTTGTCCATGCCAGTTTTGTCTCAATTGATCAATGTCTGATTTGATCATTATATTGAAACAGACATCAATCGTTCAATTATATCACACAATGTATGGCCACCATTAGGGAACATATAAACTCAGGGGCCATAAAAATCACGTTTACACAGAAAGAGTCAGAGAATAACAAATTACCCTTTTTTGGACTGTGCCATGTTAAGGAGGGGGTGCCTTGGACAAGGAGGTCTAAAAAAAACCTACCCACACAGACCAGTATCTCCCTTTTGACTCCCACCACCTACTGAAAAACGAAAATAGGGGTTTTTAGGACTCTTCGACATTGGGCTTAAATATGTAACACCCTCCAGTGTAGATAGGTTTTTTTTTTGTACAGTTAGAGGTTTGCTAGCAGCCTGGGTATGAGTCAGCCTAGAAGTGCATCAGCGAGGTTACTTGATGTTAAGGCTGGAGGACTCTACAGGTCAGTTTTCTGATACCTCCCTCTGCTCTAGAAACTTGGAGAATTTTCTAGAAGTCAGTAGGCAGGGGTGAGGAGGGGCTGATCTGCAAACATAGGAGAACCTGGCCAACCTCCAGACAGAAGATCTGGCATGGCGGCTAGGTGAGCCCTTAACCACTTCAAGTCCGGACACTTGACCCCCTTCCAGTTCAGGCCAATTTTCAGCACTATCACGCTTTGAGATGACAATTACTCAGTCATGCAACACTCTACCCATATGAAATTTTTGTCCTTTTTTTGAGACAGGTAGAGCTTTCTTTTGGTGGTGTTTGATCACCACTGGATCTTTAATTTTTTGCTATATAAATGAAAATATACCGAAAATATTGAAAAAAAATAATTTTTTGCTAAGTTTTTGTTATAAAATTTTGCAAATAGATAATTTTTCTTCATAAATGTAGGCCAAAATGTATTCTCCTACATTTTTGGGGTAAAAATAACCCAAAAAAATGTATATAGCTGTTTAGTCTGTATGAAAGCTATAGAATCTACAAACTATGGAATATATATTTGAAAATTGATCAGTTGAGGTGGTATAGCATATGGCAGTGATCATGATGCTGTTATAGGGTATAGCGGTGATCAGGACAATAGCATGAGCTATGGAGGTGATCAGGTCTCTAGTACAGCAGTAGCCAGGACGCTTTTATGGGGTATGAGGGTGATCAGGATGCTGGTATAGGGTATGGAAGTTATCAGGGCGCTGTTATGGTGTATGGTAGTGATCCGAACGCTAGTATGGGGTATGGTGGTGATCAGGGTGATGGTTTGGGGTATGGCGGTGATCAGGACACTGGTATGGGGTATGGCGGTGATCTGGACACTGGTATGGCATATGGGGTAATCAGGATGTTTCTATGGGGCATGGTGGTGATCAGGATGCTGGTATGGGGTACGACGAAGATCAGGGCGCTGGTATGGTGCATGGCGGTGATCAAGGCACTGGTATGGTGTATGGAGGTGACAGGGTGCTGGTATGGCATATGGCAGTGATCAGGGTGTTGGTTTGGTGGGGTATGGCGGTGATCAGGACACTGGTATGGCGGTGATCAGGACATTGGTATGGTGTATGAGGGTGTTTTGTGTCCACTGGGACAGGCGACAGGGCTTCCTTGCATTAATTATAATTATAATTATATAATAATAATTATAAATAATTATAAAATATATAAATAATTATAAAATATAATTATTATTGATATTGTGGGGCAGCCATCAGGGATACACGGGCACTAAACTGGGGCTGAAAGGCTGCTGTAAACGCACATCCTGCAGAATTGCTTCTCCCTGCTCTCACACTGAGAGCAGAGAGAATCAATCTTTACTTCCAGTTTCATTGTTTACTATGTGAGTGCTGTGATTGGTCATGTGATCTGATGTGTTCAGGTAACAGGCATGCTCTGTGAGCCGTGCAGGAGCCATCAATGCAGACTGACGTATAGGAACATTAACATCGGTGCTGCTTCCTGTACGCCGTCTATGTAGAATGGGTGGAGGGGAAGAGGTTAAATATGAGAGAGCCTGGTCAGCAGGGGAGTAGGATGGAAGATGGAGTGAGGAGGTGCTGCTGGTGTGGAGCATGAGAGGGGGCCTTGGAGGAGGGAGGTCTGCCTACAGGCTGGGAATCTGGGAAGCTGGACCTCCACTATCCCACAGTCTACTGAAGAAACACAGCTTATCAGCAGTGAAAGAATCTAGCCCAGTGTAAGGCCTGAAAGCAGCTTCAACCTTTACAGCTACAGGAACAGCACAGTATGAGTACCTCTACACCCCTTGGGCCAAAGAGGGGAGAGGGCGGTCAGGTGCAATACCCAACTGGTTCTCCATGGGACTACATTATTTGTGTGTCTCGGAATCCTTTGCACTGGACAGCCAGGTGGATGAGGAAATTTTCATCTGGAATCTGAGGAGGTTCATTTAAGGAGACCAAGTGCTCCTTGCAGAGACTGTGCTGTGTGTGACTGTGCTGTTTCTTAGAGCCGCTCCTGAAGGAGTAGGGAGTCCAGGATCTATTCTTCTGATCTTTTGTGCTTTTTGCTTAACCACTTGCCCTCTTTAGGATTTACCCCCCTTCCTGACCAGGCCATTTTTGTGTTACGGTGCTGCGTTATTTTAACTAACAATTGCGCTGTCATGCAACGCTGCACCCAAATTAAATTTCAATCCCTTTTTTTCCCATGAATTGAGCTTTCTTTTGGTGGTATTTGATCACCTGTGCATTTTTCATTTTGTGCGCTATAAACAAAAAAAGGCCAACAATTTTAAGAAAAAACACAATATTTTGGAATTTTTGCTATTAAACGTCCAGTAAAAAAATTTTAAAAATCAAATTTTGTCATAAATTTAGGCCAAAATGTATTCTGCTACATGTCTTTGCTAAACAAAATCCCAATATGTGTAAATTAATTGGTTTACATGAAAGTAATAGAGTTTACAAATGGCGGTATAGATAATGGGATTTTTTTTTCTACTAGTAATGCGGCAATCAGAAACTGTTAGTGGGACTGCAGCGGACATTCTGACACTGGGGGGGAACTAACTTGGTGTCACTGACATCTCCAGTGACACCAACACAGTAATCAGTGCTAAAAAAACAACACTGTGCTAATGGCACTGGGCAGAAAGGGGTTAATGTGAGGGGCGATCAAAGGGTTAAGTGTGTGCTGTGTGTGTGTTTTACTAGGGGGCGGGGGTGTTCTTTACTGTAAGCACACTGATCGGAATGGCTGTACTGTGCAAAGCCATCTCGAGCAGTATGCTCGAGCTGACAGGGAAGATGATTGTTTGTAAACAAAACAATCTTCCTCCCCGTCGGAGATGCTTGGTAATCACCAGGTGCCAGCAGGTAATTATGAACAGAGGTGCGGATACAGCGTGCGCGCCCCCTACTCGGAAATGCAAAATTATGTACAGTCAGGTCCATAAATATTGGGCTCTATACACCACCACAATGGATTTGAAATTAAACAAACAAGATTTGCTTTAACTGCAGACTGTCAGCTTTAATGTGAGGGTATTTACATCCAAATCAGATGAACAGTGTAGGAATTACAACAGTTTGCATATCTGCCTCCCACTTGTTAAGGGACCAAATGTAATGGGACAATTGGCTTCTCAGCTGTTCCATGGCCAGGTGTGTGTGTTATTCCTTCATTATCCCAATTACAATGAGCAGATAAAAGGTCCAGCGTTCATTTCAAGTGTACTATTTGCATTTGGAATCTGTTGATGTCAACTCTCAAGATGAGATCCAAAGAGCTGTCACTATCAGTGAAGCAAGCCATCATTAGGCGTGGCCTAATCAGAGAGACAGCAAAAACATTAGGCGTGGCCAAAACAACTGTTTGAAACATTCTTAAAAAGAAGAAACGCACCGGTGAGCTCAGGAACACCAAAAGACCCGGAAAACCACGGAAAACAACTGTGGTGGATGACCGAAGAATTCTTTCCCTGGTGAAGAAAACACCCTTCACAACAGTTGGCCAGGTCAAGAACACTCTCCAGGAGGTAGGTGTATGTGTGTCAAAGTCAACAATCAAGAGAAGACTTCACCAGAGTGAATACAGAGGGTTCACCACAAGATGTAAACCATTGGTGAGCCTCAAAAACAGGAAGGCCAGATTAGAGTTTGCCAAACGACATCTAAAAAAGCCTTCACAGTTCTGGAACAACATCCTATGGACAGATGAGACCAAGATCAACTTGTACCAGAGTGATGGGAAGAGAAGAGTATGGAGAAGGAAAGGAACTGCTCATGATCCTAAGCATACCACCTCATCAGTGAAGCATGGTGGTGGTAGTGTCATGGCGTGGGCATATATGGCTGCCAATGGAACTGGTTCTCTTGTATTTATTGATGATGTGACTGCTGACAAAAGCAGCAGGATGAATTCTGAAGTGTTTCGGCCAATATTATCTGCTCATATTCAGCCAAATTCTTCAGAACTCATTGGATGCTGTTTCACAGTGCAGATGGACAATGACCCAAAGCATACTGCAAAAGCAACCAAAGAGTTTTTTAAGGGAAAGAAGTGGAATGTTATGCAATGGCCAAGTCAATCACCTGACCTGAATCCGATTGGGCATGCATTTCACTTGCTGAAGACAAAACTGAAGGGAAAATGCCCCAAGAACAAGCAGTAACTGAAGACAGTTGCAGTAGAGGCCTGGCAGAGCATCACCAGGGATGAAACCCAGCATCTGGTGATGTCTATGCATTCCAGACTTCAAGCTGTAATTGACTGCAAAGGATTTGCAACCAAGTATTAAAAAGTGAAAGTTTGATTTCTGATTATTATTCTGTCCCATTACTTTTGGTCCCTTAACAAGTGGGAGGCACATATGCAAACTGTTGTAATTCCTACACCGTTCACCTGATTTGGATGTAAATACCCTCACATTAAAGCTGACAGTCTGCAGTTAAAGCATATCTTGTTTGTTTAATTTCAAATCCATTGTGGTGGTGTATAGAGCCAAAAATGTTAGAATTGTGTCGATGTCCCAATATTTATGGACCTGACTGTATATATACGTGATTTCGCGCACAGGTGCCACTCTGTAGCAGTATATCTGCTATAGGGCAGTCCTTAAGCGGTTAATTTTCCATTTTTGTGTCTAAGAAGTTGTTCTCCAAGTTGTTTCTGTGCCATTGGGCATCCCATATACCCCTAGACCCCATCCAAGCTGTTAACCCCTAATAAAAGCAAAAACCAAGCTCATGGAATGTTTTATGACTGTGGATACAAGTGTGGAAAATGTATGTTGTCTGCCTGTGCAGAGCTTAGGGGGACCCAAAAACTCAGCAGCCCTCAGGAGGGTAGTGCTACAGATTGAAACAACAAACAGAGTAGACAGAGAACACAGACATCTAAGGAGTACCTTGAAATTTAGTGGCAACCCAAACTGGGCTTCTGTTAAAGCATCCACAAAGTCAAGCAAAATTATAGGACCATCAAACAAAGGAGAGAAGTAAAATATATGGAATAATATATTCTGTACTTGTACAATGTGTCCAGGGCAAAGATGGCAAGTTGCACTTGCACTACTTTTGCCACATTCCAGTACAGCATATTGAAATGAAAGGGCTTTCAAAACCAGAATGCATGGGACTGTGTGCATTCCAGTGTGAACTGGCCCTCAAACTGGCGCACACAGTTTGAGGGTTAACAGTGGCAAAGGAAAAAAATGACCCTGCAATGGTGGTGTTGTGGGGAAGGAAAATGTCCTTGCTTTGGCGTTGTCACTGGAAGGAACATGTACCTGCAACAGTGGTGCCACTGAAATGAAAAAAATACTCTTGCTTCAGTGGTGTCATTGAAAGAAAAATCTCCTTGCGTCTGTGGTGTCACTGAAAGTAAACAATGTCCCTGCGTTGGTGTCAGTGAAAGTAAAAAATGTCTCTGGGTCTGCGTTGTCACAGAAGGGAAAAATGTCCCTGCATCTGTAGTGTCACTGAAAGGAAAAAACCTACCAGCGTCTGTGGTGTCACCAAAAGTATAAAATGTCCCTGCATCAGTGGTGTCACTGAAAGGAAAAAACCTACCAGCGTCTGTGGTGTCACCAAAAGTATAAAATGTCCCTGCATCAGTGGTGTCACTGAAAAGAAAAAAACCTACCAGCGTCTGTGGTGTCACCAAAAGTATAAAATGTCCCTGAGTCAGTGGTGTCACTGAAAGAAACAATACTCCTACATATGTGGTCTCACTGAAAGAAAAGAAAGCCCCTGAGGCTGTGGTATCAGTCTGAGGAAGACTTACTGTGCCATCTATAGTATGTCAGTAGGATGATGCAGGGGAGCTTTGAAAGAAAGGGATTTGGAGGGACTCTGAGGTAGGAAGGAGGCTTAAGAGCTCTAAAGAGCAGGTTAAGGGTTTTTGGGGTATAAGGAAGAG